AAGAGTGTGAAAATTTGGCCAAGATTCTTTTTTGCCGCAAATTTACAATTTTTAAAAAATCCTTACAGTCCTGCAATTTTGCGGATCCGCGGGATTGATTGCTTTAATCCCGCGGGTTTGCGGGATTGCATTCCCTAGTTGTGACGATTGAAAAAGTGGTAAGCCAGTGAGGAAGTTGAGATGGGTCATAACCCTATCGTCAATGACGAACAAATAGTCCGGCGATTTAAATGAAATTTTATATGTCGATAGATTAAACCAAAGCCAACTCGACCGTATACGACACGAGTCACTGTGACAGTTCGTTTTGACGTAAGAAACGTCAAAAGTTCGTCTGTTCATCTGTTCGGATCGCTCTCAGGGGTCGGGTAAAGCGGGTGTGTGGCCGAAGAAAATATATATATTATATTTCAGAAATCTGCCTAAGGCTTAGCCCGATCCTGTCGTGTTAAGCCACATCCAAAATTCCAAACACACGTGCTTTGATTAAGGCTTGATTAAGATTTGCAGAGCTTCAGCATTTGGCATAAAATAGCGAGCAATTTGTTACAAAACCATATAAATTATATATCACTGTAATCACAAGACTTCGACCTATTTCCGTATTGTATCGGAATTTTAAATTATGTCTTCATTTTCGAGAAAATTTAGTCCAAACTTAAGGAATATTTTGTTGATGTTTGACCATCAAAATCTTAAAAGGAAGAAGTTTTACTAAAAATGTGCTACAATACGGATATAGTATAATCCTTTATCTTTAATTTCCTTCTTCATTTTTTGTGTAAAAATACCTAGCTAGTTTTACATAAAACGTTAAATGCCGAACGCTTATTTTGTTACTTTTTTGAATTATTGAAATGACTTAAGATTCTAAAAGGTAAGACAAAAAATTATCTAAAATATGAATAATAACGTCAAAAGTTGCAAAATTGTATTCGATTCACGCTGTTTCAATGCGGAAAATTACGTTTTTTAAGGTAGATCCAAGCGTAAAGGTTGCATAGAATTTTCTCTTGCTACTGATGTAACTAACCGTAAAACGGCTGTTTCGGCATGGGGAATGGCCTCGTTTACTTTTCTATCAGAATTCTATTCAAACTTTAATTATATTTAATATAATTTACTGCAGACCATTGTCGAAGTTTTAGATTGGAAAATATCGTGCTTTTGTTTTACCTTATACAGAGTTTAACTGAAAATATGATAAAAAAAATTATATAATAATAAAAATGGCCGAGTTATTCATTAATGATAAATTATTGAAAAGCCTAAATTATGAGATCCGCCATAGTGTTTTAACTTCTGAGGTTCCAGGGACAGCCAATTCTTAACAGCTATTAAATTGAAAGATTTGAAGGACATGTTTGAAATGTTGAAAAAGTAATAAATTAAAAATTAATAAATAAGTTGATTTACTTTCACAAAATTTGTATTAAAATGGCCGTCTGTCCGTCTGAGGACTCCATTCGGGTACCTCTATCCACGTGCCGATTTTGGTTCCAATCGACCCATAATTATGAGAAAAATACTGATGATTTCGTCCATATAGAGGCATCGCGATTTCGAACCGATGCATCGGTTCGAAACGTTGAGGGCGTCATTCCATAGCCCGCCCCCAATTATGCCGAAATCGACCCACATTTTTTTTCAATATTAAATCCTTAGCCCAACCCCAACCCTGATTAAGATGTAAACGAAACGTCGTATCCAACTTTGCAGGGTGGGACCGTGTGCACCGTCGCTAACATTGAATACCCACCAAATTTGGTCGCGATCGGACGACATCAACTTTTGACGTTTCTTACGTCAAAACTTACTGACACCTACACGGTCAAGTTGGCTTTGGTGCAATCTATCGACATACCAAATTTTATTTAAATCGGACGATTTTTAGCGCGTGTAAAGAAGCTTCACTTCAAAAAACTTTTATAACAACTTTTTTTCGGACACTTTCTATAACTGTACTATAGTAAATGCCACGAATTGGGAGTGATTCATCGGTCGCTACCATGTGACCTAATCTGTCCAAGGTCACATAAAACTTAATTCCAGTGCCGTGGTGTTTCAAGTCATATAATAATAAATATATAATCTGTTGTAATTTGTTGTTTTAACTGTCAAAGTCTTATCAAAACATATATTTGGTTATAAATATTAAATGGAATGCCCCATTGGTCGCATTGCAAGCACACCAATGGACTGACTGCACAAAAACGAATCAATCAAAGAAACGCAATATAGTATCGTCTTTGTCAATCACGCTAACATTTTAGAATAAGTAGGAGGAGCGCAGGCAGATGATTAGACCGGGCCTTTAAAAACCTACATCTGCGGTAAAAATTTACGATTTTAATGTAAAAATGATAGCGCGCGTGTCGATTCCAACTTTATCAAGCGATGAATCACTCCCAAACATTCGTGGCGTTTACAATAATATATAAAATCCTTAAGTGACTGACATACTGATTAATCACGATCCTGCTCAAACCACTCAACGTAAGAAGCTCAATTTTGGCATACAGGTTGATTCTAGGGTGTAGAGGTTCGATAAGAAGAGATTTTTCGAAATGCCAGTTCCAAGAGGGTGAAACCACCCCTCAAATATTACAATACAAATATTTTTTGAAAAAACGCTTAAACACGTATATTTTATTTTGTTTTTTTACATATTTTAAGATTTTTTAAAAATGTATACAGGGTGTTTCGAAAAATCTGGTCATTGATTAATCACGATCATGCTTAAAGCGCTTGACATAAAAAGCTGATTTTTGGAAAACAGATTGACTTTAGGGTGTAGAGGTTCGATAAGAAGGGATTTTTCAATACTCAAATTCTAAGGGGGTGAAACTATCCCTCAAATATTAAAATATTTTTTATTTAAAAACCGGTGAGTTTTTCGGAAAAACTCTTAAACACGTATATTTTATTTTGTTGTTTAACATATTTAAGATTTTTTATAAATTTATACAGGGTGTTTCATAAAATATGACCATTTAGTAATCACGATTCTGCTTAAACTGCTTGACGTTTAAAGTTGATTTTTGGCAAACAGATTGACTGTGGGATGTAGAGATTCGATAAGGAGGAGTTTCTCGAATCTCAAATTCCAAGAGCGTGAAAACGCCCCTCAAATATTACAATATTTGTTATTTAAGAAACGGTTAGTCTTTCGGGAAAACGCTTGGACAGGCATAATTTAACTGCTTGACGTAAAAAGCTTATTTTTGGCAAACGGATTTTTCGAAAGTCAAATTCCAACGAGATGAAACTACCCCTCAAATATTACCAAGTTATATAATAATATCGCCATAATGTATATTGTTTTTTCTCATGCTGACATAAATGTGAGAAAATTTTATCCAGTTTGTATTTTAATAGAAATTCTTGCTTTGCTTTATCATCACCACTACAAATGATTAATTCGACGCGAACGAAGTCGCTGGTACACGCTAGTAACAGTATATTTTTAGGATATAAAAATTATAAACCATACAACATTTATACAGGTTGTTTCAAAAAACATGTGCCATCTCTCGTGGGGAGGAGATTCCTCGCGTAAAAATAAGATTTATTTTTTATATCAACATAGGCCCGATTCTGTTTTGTCTCGTAGCTACAGGGTGTTAAAATCTTAATATTTTTTTGATTTATTATAGTTTTCTTCCAAGTACTTTTAGCGTTTCGAATAAAATTTTAAGGGTAAAAGTTACTATAAATGCGACATATTTTAAAGCTAAAAAAATGTCGACATATTCACCAGGGACGTGCATATGGGTTATTATTGGAATATTTTTCTAAAAAAATAATGTACGCCACTGGCTTTCTTTTTCTTGTTAGCGAAATAGTAAAAGCAGTTTAATGCCGATTAAAAGTTGTCTCTTAATATTTTATCGATTTCGGCCTCCTTGACGAGATAAACGCAATTTTATTAATTTGCATTAACCCAAGATAAACAACATTTAAAAAAAATAATATCACTAACTTGCGAAAGTTTTAAATAGGTACTCATAAATTCCTCATCAAAAAAGTTTCAATAAACATGGGTATGGAAATGCATGAGGATATTAAAAACTTTTAAAATTAAGTTTTTTGTAATTATCTTAAATACCATTATTTTTTATTTAAAATTGCTGTAGGTTGGACTAATAGTAATAATAACTAATAGTAATAATATTTAATAATAAATGAGGTAAAATATGTAATTTATTAATTTAATTAAATTTTATTAATTGTGATTAATAAAATTGCGTTTATCTCTTCAAGGAGGCCGAATTCGACAAAATTTCAAGAGATAACTTTTAATTGGCATTAAACGGCCTAGTTAATTTTGATCTGAAAAGAGAAAAAATCTTTGGCGCACATGTTTTTTTTTGAAAAATATTTCAGTGATAACCCATATGCACGTCCTTAATAAATTTATCGACACTTTTTAGCATTTTTTTTATTACATTTTACGTAGCACTTATAGTAACTTTTATCCTCAAAATTTCATTCGAATCACTAAAATTACTTAGAAGAAAATTATAATAAATCAAAACATTATTAAACTTTAACCCTGTAGCTACGAAACAAAGCAAAATCAGACCTATGTTGATATAAAAAATAAATCTTATTTTTACGTGAGGAATCTCCCCACGAGAGATGGCACATGTTTTTTGAAACACCCTGTATGTATTTTTTTCATATTTTTATCAACGATATTGGATTTCCTCGAACTAATGGACCACCCTGTATAAACAGGGTGGTCCATAAACAGGTTAACACCTCTGTAAAACGAGAATCTCCTGCATTCTGTAACACGTGATTCTTAAATAATAATTTAATTTTATTATTTTCGTAATTTCACATTTTTTTCACGCCTCTTTTCACCCCCCTCATCAGGCGCTATAATAAAAATCTACCCCTCGTACGGTCGATGGCGCCGAGTGTGCGCCCTGCAAGCACCCTCTACAAAGAGGTTAGAGCGATGTTTGACTGTAGCGGGCCGTTTGCGACTTGTGTTTTGAGTGCGTCACCCGCAGTAGCGTGCTACTGTCACCGGCAGCAACAGCAGGAATTACTTCGTGCAGCCGAGTCGAACAATGTTCTAAAAACAGTGACGAAAACGGTGCATTTATAGCGAATAGACTCGAAAATAGAACTCGTAAGTATTTTGACAAATTCCGTATCTATTTAGTGAGTAAATATACAGACTTATATTTCCTGCTATATACACTCAGATGCAAAAAAAAACGCAACAGAGAAATTTTTCTTCAAATTTAAAGTGTTATATTTTTGTTATTTTTAGCCCTATTTGCATGAATTTTTTAGCAACCATTACATAATTATATCAACTTTAATTCGTAAATTCAGTTTTTTGTAAACTTTATCAATTGACATATTATACAGGGTTAATCGAAGGGGTTGTTTTTTTATCCTAACTTTAAAACCCCCTGTGCAATAATTTGGCGTGTCAATTTTCCTAAATTTTAATTTTACGGTCAGAACCATGTCTCTGAACTGATCACAATCAATTTGCAATTTTTCAATTATCATTTTACTTCTTGATCTAATTTTTTAATATGACGAGATGGTTTTGGTGACTATTATTCTGTAACAGGTATTTCTGAAATTTATTTAACTATTCTTTCTAAAATTGTTATTTTATTATTTTCGTAATTTCACATCTTTTTCACGACTCTTTTCATAATAAAATGACAAAAATATTTTTTTACCTGTTATTTACATGGAAAACTTTGAATGTCCGACACCTTTTAAAATTGAGCTAAAAATCCTGCCTTTGGGGGATATTTTTTTCTCGGTTATTAGGTTCATTTTAACCCATAAATTCCATAGGTTAGTTTTTTCACCCTCCTATACATACAGAGTATCCCACTTAAGATGGATACAAGCCAATATCTTGATTGTTTGTTGAGCGATCCTTTTCATTTTTGGCAGGAGACTGTATGGGTATAAGACGTACATTTTGCCCAGGGTAAGAAATGCGATACCTCATAGACGTACGTTTTAATGGGGTTTGATATTTTTCGAGTCAAGAGTAAACTACCCTTAGGACAGTATTTATTTCAAATCTGATAAATTATATTGAATCCTCCTTACCTAAGATACTTAAGTTCTAATTTTTATAAATATTGATACAGGGTGTGTCATTAAAATAAGACATTTTTATTTTTATTATTTTTTTTAATTACTTACGACGCCACTGGATAAACAACTGGTTTATTATCAATAACCAATTATATCCAATTATCAATTAATAATCGATTTAAGTTTTCTTATAGCTTCCATAATAATTAGGATAGGATACAAAAATACTAAACAATTTTACAGTTTTATAAATCTTTGTTTAGAGCATATTTTTCAAAGTTAATAGTGATTGTTTTAAATAACTATTTAGATTTTTTTTTTAAATTCCTCGATAAAACGAATAAAAATCATATTTCAGATTCCAATGAAAACTGGGTTTTAAAATTATTTTGTAACTCATTTTATTCATTTGTATCAGCAAACTTAAAAAACAATTTTTTAAAACAAAATAAATTGAAAATATTTAGTTTTTTTGTATCGTATCTTAATTATTATGGAAGCTAACTGAAAACTTAAATCGATTATTAATTGATAATTGGTTATAATTGGCTATTGATAATAAACCAGTTGTTTATCCAGTGACGTCGTAAGTACTTAAAAAATAATAATAAAAATAAAAATGTCACACACTGTATCAATATTTATCAAAATTAGAACATAAGTATCTTGGGTAAGGAGGATTCAATATAATTTATCAGATTGGAAATAAATACTGTCCTAAGGGTAGTTTACTCTTGACTCGAAAAATATCAAACCCCATTAAAAAGTACGTCTATGAGGTATCGCATTTCTTACCCTGGGCAAAATGTACGTCTTATAGCCATACAGCCTCCTGCCAAAAATGAAGAAGATCGCTCAACAAACAACCAAGATATTGGCTTGTATCCATCTTAAGTGGGATCCCCTGTATATGTATTGTTTGCTAAAAAAATTTTGAGTTGGCAAAATTATTAAAAAAAATGTGTTTGCTGTTAAAAAAAGGCACTGTGCGGAAAGGTTATAGTAAATTTAAAATAATGGAAATATTATTTTAAAATTAGTTGTTTATTCGAACTCGGGATTTGAGTATAATATTTAAATTAGATATGAATAAAATCTTAATATCCTATATACAGGGTGTACCTTAATAACATGATAATACACTCACCGGTACGAAAAACGGGCACCTTAAAATTTTCGTATGTTTTAAAGTTTTATACAGGGTGTTTCAAAAAACATGTGCCATCTCTCGTGGGGAGATTCCTCGAAATTCATATCAACATAGATCCGATTCTGCTTTGTTTCGTAGCTACAGGGTGTTAAAGTCTTAATAATCTTTCGATTTCTTATAATTTTCTCCCAAGTACTTTTAGTGATTTGAATGAAATTTTAATGGTAAAAGTTACTATAAGTGCTACATATTTTAATACTAAAAAACTGCCAATAAATTCAGATTACTCACACTAAATTAATATTTAAAAAAAGCATGAGCGCCACTGACTTTCTTTTGTTATCAAAATTGTGTAGGCCAAAATATCAATAGACAACTTTTAATCGGCATTAAACTGCTTACACTATTTCGCTAACAAGAGAAAAAAATGTCAGTAGCGTACATGATTTTTTTAGAAAAATATTCCAGTGATAACCCATATGTCAATACCTCCCTTAGTGAAAATGTCGACACTTTCTTAGCTTGATGTGAAAAATAAATGTTATTTTTACGTGAGGGAATCTTCCCACGCCCATGAGAGATGGTACTCACAAAATGTTTTTTGAAACACCATGTATATTGTATTCTAGTGGACCGATTTTGGTGATCTTTTAAGCAATTTGTAGCTAAACATTTGACTTTTTAGTATCTCTTTCAAAATTAAAAATGAATATTCCCATCTATCAATTTTACAAAGGAACACAAACTATATAATATTATCATCTGAATTCATCTGGAATATCTCCAACAAAAAAAGGATGTACCTAGAGGATAAAATTATTTTTAAAATCCTTACTGTCTCTCTTTTGATACAATATTTTTTAAAACTAACTTTTGACTTTCCACATCAAACTAATATTTTAATTATATTTTGTATTATACCTACCTTTATTAATTGACTTCAATAATTAACTCCAAAGTATTTTACTGGCCTATAACCAACTAAAAAACAGTATTCTAATATCATTTCCATTTACATATATTTTGAAAGAAAACCACAAACAAAAAAACTAAAGAACCGCTAGCCCTATGGTCAAAAAATTTCCCATTAAGCTCTCTCATTTCCATGAAAGGGCGGCTTTTGTTCCGTTTAATGGATCTTTTACTTTTTTCCATTATCTCGGCTTTTGTCTCCAAAGCAACTGTTTTTCTTTTGGCCCGTTGTTTTTGCTCCGATAAGGGCATTTTATCAAAGACAAAAGACCCAAAAAAGTTTTTCTTAGAAAGAGTTTTTTTTTGTCCAAGGATCTAGAAATCGTTTACTTTTTGATATTTTACTTCAATCTATCGTTTTTATCTTTGTATCCGATCCATTCAGGCTTAATTAATGTTTTAAGCTTCATTTTAACCTCGAAATTAGTGCTTTCAATTAAGGTTCATTCAAAACCTCCCAATTAGTGGAATAAATTTGTGGTTTCAATTAGCCTAGAATTTTATTCCTGTTATTTGAATGTAAGCATTCAAAATGTTAAAATTAGAGGTAAGAATCTTCAATTAGTGGAAAAACCTTAACAAACTTTAAACTTCATTCAGAACGTCGCAATTAGTGGAATAAATTAGTGGTTTCAATTACACTTTATACTTTTTAGTTTACGATCATTCACAATGTTTAAATTAATAGAATAGCAACAGCTTGCGGTAGTCCATAGCGAAAGTCTAATATTTAGCTTACAAAACAATCAACTTTTCATTTCTAACTACTACTTTCTCTTAACGAAAAAAAAACAAACGCCAAAATGACATTTGTCGCAAATTTTCAAAGTATAATTATTGGAAAAGTCAAAAGTGATAACTTTTTCTACTAATTGTAATTGTCTACCACTAATTTTGACGTTCTGAATGCTTACATTGAAATTAAAGGAACAAACTTATACGCTAATTGAAACTACTAATTAATTCCACTAATTGCGAGGTTCTGAATGACGCTTTAACTTTTCCACTAATTATACTTCAAAATTTGCGACAAATGTCATTTTGGCATTTGATTGTCATCCGTCAAGACAAAATTTGGTTAGAAATCATAAGTTTATTGTTTTATAAGCTAAATGTTAGGCTTGCTCTATGGATACAACTGACTACTGGAAGCTGTCGCGATGATATTCTATTAATTTTAATTATTGTATTTATGAAGTGAAACTTCTTTACGCATACTGGGAGTAAAAATTCAAGGCCGTAAAAAAAGTAAAAATTCAAATGCGACACGACACACGATAGGAAAAGTGGCAATGACAGACTTCTACGTCTTAGAAAAACTCGTCCGATTTAAATAAAATTTGGTATTTCGAGATATTGGACCAAGGCCAACTTAACCCTGGACGACACGTGTCACTGTGACAGTTAGTTTTGACGTAAGAATGGTCAAAAGTTGATGTCGTCCGATCGCGACCAAAAAAACCAAAAAAAAAAACGACGGTGCACACGGTCCCACCATGCAAATTTGGAAACGACGGACGTTTCGTTTACATCTTCATCACGGGGGGACTAAGGATTTGATATTGGAAAAAAATGTGAGTCGATTTCGGCATAATTGGGAACGGGCTACAGAATGACGGCCTCTAAAGCTTGATTTTCATGCATCCGTTGTCCGACGATACGATGATACGATATTAATTTTATTGGTTGAATTTAAAGGCTTCGATTGGTTAACCGTTTCTAACCAATCAAAGTCTTTAAATTCAACCAATAAAATTAATATCGTATCAACGTATCGTCGGATAACGGATGCATGAAAATCAAGCTTAATTATGGGTCGATTGGAACCAAACTCGGCACGTGGATAGAGGTATCCGAATGAAGTTCTCAGACGGACAGACAGACAGATGGACATTTTAATATAAATTTGTAAAAATGAGTCAAATTATTTATTAATTTTTAATTTATTACATTCTTAACATTTCAAACTACACTTTTTCAAACATGTCCTTCAAATCCTTCAATTTAATAGCAGTAAGAAGTTTCATTTCAAATATGCGCACTAAGTGCACACACAATTTTTTTTGACATTTTGAATGGTCGTAAATTTTTAAGTACCTACTTATAAGTTTTAACTAAAACCACTAATTTATTCTACTAATTTCACTTGTGTCTAGCCCCAGCAGGCAACTATTAAGCCCGACCAATTACGTTAGAGTTTTTGACAAAAAACAATGAATTAACACACTCCAAATAATCACGCTAACCAACCTGATTGGTCAAGCTTAATAGTTGCCTGCTGGGGCTAGACACTTCTCTAATTTCGAGGTTCTGAATTAAGCTTGAAGCTTAGAAAAACTAAGAAAACTTTTTTATTTAGATATATTATTTATACTTATATATTATTTACAAGAGGTTTTCGAGTATACAGTATGTCCCCGGATTGTCTTTACAAGAGGAATTTTTTTTTATTATTGACATTTAAAAAAAACGCATTCTTCTTAAACAATTTTGCTTGTTCTAAATTCTAAAATGGTTGTTCCCGTTTATACTTTTCTAAATTTCCATACCGTTTTAGAGAAAATTAGAAAAAACATTAAAATAGGGTTGAATTTTTTCAAAATCCTAAAAACCAAAACGCGTTTCTATGGTAATAGAATTTCGTTTTCATTCTTTGATAGATTGTTGTTGATAGAATTTTATTTAATGTCATATTTTTTGCTATTTTAAAATTTTAAAGAAGCATAAAATTTATCATCATAGTATATACATAATTTATCAGTTCAATGCTACTACAATCCATTCAGATGATAGTAGTTATCATTGGCGTAACTACAGTTGGGCACCCCCCCTACTGCTGGGCACCCCCCAGAGGATTATCCTGAATTATGACTCTTGGCTACGTATTAATTTTTATTTGCTTGTGATGCAGTAAAAATGACGTTTTCTAGTTTTGTTTAGTTAATATTATTTTGTTGTGTTCAAAAAATGTGTTAACTTTTATTTTTTTTAGAAAATCTGTAGGTATTTAAGTAATCTATGGGAACACGGTTTGATAACCAAGACTCTGAAATTTATTGATAGAGAAATTCATGTCAACATTTTATTCAAAAAATGTGTTTTTAAAATTATTTTTCATTTTTAAAAAAACAAACGCCCTTGCCCCCCCCTGGGCTCAGCGCCAGGCCCACCCCTAGATAAATTGCTAGTTACGCTAATGGTAGTTATCGAAAAATGTTATACTTACAAACAACAAAAAAAATATGACTGACAAAACATCCCCATATGACGTTCATCAATTACGTTATTATCATTAATTTTTAATGATAATACCCAAATAATAACTATCATAATTATCAAAGAATGAAATCGAAATTATATTACCATAGAAACGCCTCTTTTTTTAGTAAATTCAACCATATTTTTTTATGTTTTTTTCTAATTTTCTCTAGAACGGTATTGCAAATTTGAAAAAGTATAAATCATTTTAGAACAAGCAAATTTTTTTATGAAGAATGCATTTTTCTTAAAGTGCCAATAATAAAAATGTTTTTCCCTTTATAAAAACAATCCGGGACATACTGTATTAGATAGACTTTTAAACATTAAGTTTAATTTTTTGTAACAGCTTAATTTTAAACAAAGCGATTGATTTTTATTTGTCCCCTGTAAAACGACGACAAATTAAATTGTAACCCTTCTTTTCAAGCGCATTCCTTTCCAGAATACCGATTCGGACGCTAAACTATGGAGCGCAAGCGACCGAGGCTATGGTTGCTTACGTGTCTCGTCTTATTCGGCTTTTGTCCGGGCTCCCTGGACGCCGTAAATCCGTCGGAGAACGAAATTGGACACCCGCAACAACGCCAGCAGGACCACCCCAACCCCAAGCTGCCCGCCAGCGAGATGCCGCGTAAGTTATTTATTGGACAACGTCGAGGCAACGCCGTAATCCATCCTGATTTATACGTTGTTGTTGGCCGAAGAATCTGGTCTAGATCGGTTTGGTTCGAAAACGCGTCATGTCTTCTTCATATTTTATAGTGGATATGTTACAGGGCAAGGCATAATGTGTCTCTCTTATGTCTTTAGTGTACCTAATACTTAATAATTTTATTTATAACTTTGAAGAAAATGATTAAGGAAGGAGTGTAATGTACAGGGTGTCCCACTAAGAATAGCTCTCGGCTGTATCTCTGAAAGTATTAGCCGTAAGGCTTGCGGAAAAAAATATTCATAACTAAAGAGGCCATGAGAAATTGCTGGAAATTATGTTTAAATTTGTATAATGACCGCTAGAGGGCGGAACTGCTATAAAAAATAAGAAAATGAAGTTTTTACACAATGTTGCCTAGATAAGGGGTACTATAAATAATAGTTTCAGAATCTTCAGTAAATTCTGAATATTTTTTGTTAGAACCATTTTCCCCTATCTGCCAAAATAAACTGGTGGGGGAAGGTTAGATCTGTTTTTATTTAAATATTAATAACTCCGGATTGGATTGACGGAATCCAACAAACGGGGGCTCGTTTAAAAGAGCGTTTCTTACTCTATATTATACCATATAAACAATATTAATAAGCTTTTGAACGTTGACGCTAGGGGGCGCTGTCTTACAATTTAACAAACATTGCGCGTTTTTACAAAAAAATTAAATGCCATAGTATATGTAGCTCATAGTGAAGAGTAATAAAAGCTTAAAAAGTCAGTGCAAACCGCATCTTCATATCTTCTTTCAAACCAAAGTTATTTGCAAAATTATAATAAATACGAGAAAATAAGCCCTTAATTACCTCATTTTTCTAACTCGATATCACTAGCCCTCTTGACTATGATCATACTAATAAAAAATAAGATAAAAAAGATTAATTTATTCAAAAATTTGACAATGTACAAGAATACCATAATACTAGGTGGATTAATATCTAATAATTAAGATATCAATGACAGTGAACAAGAAACGACGTCTCACTGAATTCATAGTAGGCTTTGGAAAAGACCTACTTTGCTTTTAAACGGATAGTTTAAATATCAAAATATTATTATATCAACAGTTTGATAGTCTCAGCAGCGTTTTTTTATTCTTTGATTGCTTTTCTAAAAATCTTTTTTCTAAAAATCGTCTTTCTTCAAAAGAGAAAAAACACTGCTAAGACTATCAAAATGTTGATCTAATAACAATTTGACGTTTATACTATTACGTCAAAAGCAACTTTTTTCCAAAGCCTACCATGCTTCACTGAGACATCGCTTCTTGTTCGCTGTTATTAACATCTTAATTATTAGAAATTAATATATCTGGTATTATGGTATTCTGGTATATTGTCGATTTTAAATAATCTAGTCATTTCTATTTTATTTTTATTAGAATGGGCATAATCAAGAGGGCTACTGATACCGTGTTATAAAAATTGACGAATTGATATTAATTAAGAGCCTATATTTTCCTATTTAATATAATTTTGCTAATATCTTCGGTTTGAAAGAAGATATCAAGATGCGGTTTTCACTGACTTTTTAAGCTTTCATTACTCTTTACTATCAGCTAGAATTACATATACTATCGCATTTATTTATTTTTTTTGAAAAAACGCACAATGTTTGTTAAATTGTAAGACAGTGCCCTTTATATCATTTGAAATAAAATGCTTTTTCCAAATATTCTAATGAGCCACCCTCGTTCCATTTGAAAAAATTGAGATATGATTTTGGGCATCTTTTAACCGGCCAGGACAAGACACGAAAACCATTAGACGATCAAACCTATTTTTCCAAGACTCCTTGATTAAAAATTATTTTTTTTAACACAGCCATAGCACTCTAGACTGAAGTTTAAAATACGGGTTTTTTAAGCGAAAATGTCAAAAGTTGACATATGATATGTCATTCTATTCAGAGTGTCATTTAATATATATTGTATCGAATAAAGTAAAAATATACCGAGGGTGCCATTTAAAAATCAAAAGTTGTTATCATTTCCGGTGAAACAGGAAGTGACTGAAAACAATTGAATACGTCAATCAATCCTAATATATGTCATATACTAACATACAAAATATCTTTTTTTATCTGAAAAAATAAAACAGTTCTAGAAGTGAGTCACTTTTGAGACGCACCCGGTATAACCAGTATAATATACTCCTACCCTTGTCTATATTTCTACCAAATTTAATCAACTTAAAATATTATTTTTCTTATTTCTTTTCATCTAAAATAGTTATTTTCTATTTCTTCTTTCATTTATGCAAAAGCCAACGTGTTTAAATTTTAACAAATCGGTCTGGAATGCTGCGTCTGGCATTTCCAGAAATAGATAAATTGGAATAGTTTCTTTCTTCCAATAAAAGACTCATTTTATTTTTAAAACTCTCTTCCCTATTATTCCTTTCTATTTTTCCTTTTGCTGTGTGAAAGAAAATGCTGGAATATACGGTATTTTACTTACTTTTTTATTACTGACATTTCGAGAAAAATGCATTCTTCACAAAATTTTTTACTTGTTCTGAAATGGTTAATTCCGTTTTTACTTTTCGAAATTTCCATACCGTTTTGGAGAAAATTAAAAAAAAACTTGAAATTATAATTATTATTGTATTTTTTTTAAAGTCCTAAAAATCAGATGTCGTTTCTATGGTAACATAATTTATAGATTTAATTCTTTAATAGATGGTTATTATTAATTTTGATTAACGTCATATATTAACGTCATATTTTTTGCTAATGTAAAAATATCAAATTTTCCGATATAATAAGAAAGGTCTAATAAATCGAGAAAGGTGTTTCAAAATGTTTACAGTGACGGTTTTTTCGTATTTATCGTATGAATATAAATATATTTAGGAAAAAATGTCTATACCTATGTACAAAATGTAATACAAAATAAAATAGTTATTTTTTATTTTATTTAGCAGATTTTCTTGCAGTGGCGAAATACCCATATAGGATTTTTTGGGGAGATAAATATAGTATTTGATACCATTATTTACTATTTTATTTCAAAAATACCTACAGTATAAGTAAATGTTCGAATACATGTGTTACCAGGAAAGTATAAAATTAAGACATTCTGTATAAAACCTAGGTATTCTATAAAATGCGTAAAGTAATATAGGGTCAATGCATTGGTTCTCGGCCTTTTAACGGAAACTTTGACTTTGAAAGCAAATTAGATATGGAAGGAGGTTTTAAATCATAATTTGCCCAATACAAAAAATGTTCGGTAGAGTGTTTTAATAATTATGGATTTTTTTTTAAATTTTTATTTTCAAAACTTTAGTAAAAAATCAATAATAACCGAAAAAAGTGCTATTTTACTGGTTCTTGGCCACCACTCACAGTTCTCGGCCAATTTTGTATTGGTTCTCGGCCATGTAGGTATACCTGGAATATAGTAGGATGCCTTACTATGATTCTGCGTACCTAATTAAGAACCAATTAATTTATGAAGGTATCAATAAAAAAACTTTAATTAAAAAACTTATATGTATGTATGGCAGGAATATTAGTAATACAATAATAGCAATAGGCTCCTTAAAACCTAAATAGACTATAAACATTAGGTACCGGTTAAATACCTATAACCATAGATATCTAATTTTCTGAAGCTATTCTTTACAGAATTCCTAAATCTGTCAGATTTTGATAAAATTTCGTCAAACACGCTACAAAAATTAATTTTTGTCACCGAGCAATTTAGATTTTCGGGTTTGTTCTGCCACTTACAAACTGTTTTTTTCCATTCCGATTTCATCGGTTTGAAGACGCTAACGTCAGCAGGCTGGAGCATGTGGGTGATGTTAGGTGGAAGAGCATATAAAATTATTTCATTATTGTGGTACCACTCACTAATTGTCATAGTGAGATGGGATTTATGCCCATCCACAAACAGGCCTCGGAATATTTTCTGTAATCGGCCATTTGTTAAAATCATTATTGATAAACTCAAAAAATACGTCAGATGTCATCCATCCTCTTTCTGACTTTCCTATAACATAATAACAGCCCTGGGAAGTCGCACATAAGGGAATAACAGAAGTGGAGGAGCAAATTTTCCTTCGGCGTTGAATATAATTCGGGCTTCCTCAGAAGATCGGGTACTCTTCCTTTGATTCTATCCTGGATCGTCGCCCTTGGTACATTAAATCTTTGACTGGCCTCCCTTATTTTTATTTTGTTTTCCCGGACTCACGCAGAGCATTCTTGAGATCTTCCTTTGTGTATTGGTACATCCTTGGTACTTTAGGTCGTATCAAGACGGTTTTATTACCCTGGGTTTTATTTCTCCTAGTTTTTCCTAGCCACTGAAAAAAAATCAAAGGATTAGAGTTGGTTAGCGGCCGAGAACCGAAATCTACAGTGATCTTGGTTCTCGGCCACACTATTTTTCATGGTGGCCGAGAAACGCTAGTTCTCGGTCACTATTTTTAAACATAATTTTTGATTAAATTATATTTTATATTCGAATTAATTTAGCGGCCGCAATGTAATAATTAAAAAGCAATAATATAAGTAAATAAAAAAATAACAAACCAAACCAAACCAAATCAAACCTCTACACTCCATACATGGTACAAAGAATACAAGGTATGATCGATAGCGGCTCCAATTTCGTTCAGTTCGCGCATACCACCTGTGACGTCACTAGGAAAATAATGAATAAATAAAAAATAAAGAAAGTTGACAGGAGATCTGCATTTTTGGGGTTATGGTTAAGAATTGTTTATTTTTAAGACTTTTTAGTTCGTTTAATTTAATAATTACTAAAACCAGCAGTTCCAAAAATATATTTAAAAATAATAATTATCTATTAACATGGATTTGGACGATAGGTAAGAATACTGAATTTATTTCTATATTCGGTATAAAATTGTTTATTAGGTTTTTAGTTTGCGATGTTTATGGTAAATAATTTTCATTTTCATTGCCTCTGAATTCACATGAGGACAGAGTTGAGGATATCTATGGAAAAGTAACCACAAGAGGAATTGTTACATCATTTAAAAAATATTGGGAAGTTTATTGTTTCCCATCGAAAAGTAGAAAATGCCAATGCAGATGAACGTATTGTAATTGTGATAGAAGTAATTCTAAGGGTGAAGTTTATTATAATTAGTGGAAGTAATACCAAGGGTGAAGTTTATTATAATTAGTGACCTCTGCTTCTTTTTATATGTAGAAGTTTCTGGTTTTGAGAATAAATCGGTTGAACGACACCCAAAATTTAAAGGAAGTATTTGCATACCCAGAATATGCCCATCAAGGATTATATAGCTCAAATTTCCTTTAATGGTAGGCAATTATTCAATGCAAATTAACTTTTTAAGTGACTAAAATATTAAATAGTTTACAATATGGTATATCACTAAAAATATATTACTTTTAGGTACAATTAGGGCCCGATACATTTCAAAAAGTAGAATATTATTTTATATTAAATGAGGTATTGTACTAACAATCAATTTATATTAATAACGGAGATTAAAAAATAACAGAATAAATAGTTCTTTTTTTTATACTACAAAAATAAACTATAGAATACAACAGTATTTAAAAAAATAAATAAAAAGTTATGTCCCGGCCGAGATTCGAACTCCAGTCTCTCGCTTCCTAGCCCGACTCCTTACGCACTGCTCCACAGTAACTTGCTTAGCGATAATTCAATGACGGTATATAAACAAAAAAACAGGTTTATAACAATATCTTGACGATTTGAACTGGCGCGCGGAGCGTGCTGACCAATAGCGCCTGTTATCACCTGTGACGTAGCGACCAACCTGCGCAATATCATACCTTGTATTCTTTGTACCATGCGTCACAAGTCATAAGCATGTTTGCCAAACTTACTAGCGGATGGCGCATGCCATTCTATTCAGTTGTTTCGGTAAAAAAAAGATAAAAATGATTTCTTCATAAAAATTTTTGCTGGATCTGAAATTGTTAATTCCGTTTATACTTTCTTAAATTTCCATACCGTTTTAGGGAAAATTTAAAAAAAAACATGGAAATATGGTTGAATTTTTGAATATGGTCGAAGTCCTAAAAATCAAAAGACCTTTCTATGGTAATACAATTTCGATTTCATTCTTTAATAGAATTAGTAATTCTTAATTATTATTAATTTTGATTAACGTCACATTTTTTTTGCTGTTGATAAAGTATCACATTTTCGAATAACTATTATCACCATTTGCGTAGTACTGATCTAAATAAATTTTGTGCATCTTAAACATTTTAAAACAGCAAAAAATATGGATTTAATTACAATTCTATCAATAACAATCTATCAAACGTTGAAGACGAAAGTATATTACCATGGTAACGCATTTTGATTTTTAGAAAAAAAAACTACATTTTCATGTTTTTTTTTAATTTTCTCTAAAACGGCATGGAAATTTGAAAAAGTATAAGCGGTACTAACCATTTCAGAACAAGGAAAAAATTTTATGAAGATTGCATTTTTCTCAAATTGTCAATAATAAAAAATTTTTCCTCTTGTTAAGACAATTCGGGGACTTACTGTATTATTACATTTTTTGAACTGCTTCAATATCTTATAATTTTCTAATATACTACCCTATACCAATCTCTTCAAAATTTGAGTAAAGTCATTTAAAAGATTCTATAATAATAATTGTTTTGATTAAAGAAAATCTTTACAGAGTTTACCATGACAAATATTCAAACTAAGTATGTAAATTTCTAAAATTGTTATGGTAACGAAATACTTGAAATGGAACAGAACTATACTAATACTACAATATTATATATTAGATGTAGCAGGTACCTTTACGAAAAAATCCAAATTTTCCGAATGACCCTATATAATTCCTAGGAATTCTATGCAATGTCGGATTTCCAACTTTGCCTGTAACATATTATGCAATACAATTCATTTTCAGTTGAAGTGGACATCCTGAAACTGATAAAGGTGTCGCACAAAGACCCGGGAGTGTCCGTTGTGGAGGGCCCCATTGGAAAGTATCCAGCCTACAAGTTCCGGCTTCCCTATGGCAACGTGCCCATGATAAACGCGTCGACCGTCATCGAGGCGATCAACAAAAGCAACGGATTCACAGTCGTCTTTTTGTTCAGGTAAAATAGGACATAAATAAATGTGCAATGGAAATAGCGATATATTTTCATCAGTGAGGGCCAGGTATTTCAATGGAGAGCAAAAACAAATGGGAATTGTTTATGATTTAGTAAAAAGTTTTTGGCATACGATTATACAGGGTGTCCTAGAAATAAGTGCAAGTATTTTAAGAGGCAGATCTGACCAAGAGAAACATATTTTTCCTTTACCATTTTATAAATAAATAAAGTTATTTATATAAAATATAAAGTTTGTATAAAAAAAGTTATTTATTAACTTTGAAAATCTTCAAAAAATGCAACCTTTTGAGAACAGCCGGCAAAAATCGGCAATTTCCGGGATACCAACTTTATGGAGTGTAGAAGTAATGAGAAATATCTTCGTGCATTAAAAATGGTCATAAAATGGCGCTTAAGATGGCGCTGCTGTAGCAAAAACCTAAAATTTAAAACATCGCCGAAAATTTTTAGAACAGGGAATGATTCAATAGAGATAAATATTCAAAGTAAATATTTGACATGAAGGCGAGGGTTTCAAAAAAATACAAATTTTATTTTCATGTCACATGAAATAAATTATCGATTTTTATTCAGCAGCGTTAGACTGGGCCTCTAATATAAAAAATAATTGTTTTATACTCTAAAAAATAAAAACAAAGCTTTTTTGGGTAATGTTTGGTTATGTTACTTTTATTCTCTTATCTATGGTTGCTTTATATTTTTTTAGATTTATGCGTCATTAGCGCCACTGTGGTCATTTGGTGAACCCTTATTCTTCTCAATTTTGTGACAACACTAAATAAAATTAAACAAACTAACAACACTTCACTGCAATTCTTGACAACACTACACTTAAATACCCTTCGCTTCTTGAATGCATGCTATTGTAATAATTGTTCAAAATGACGATCTCTATTTGCAACACATGCTATCGTTCTTCTGAGCATGGAATTTTTAACGTCTCGAAGCAGTTCTTAGTTCATCCTAATATCGTTAATAGCATTGTTTTCTTTTTTGTGTCAGAAGCTCTGCCTGCTTTGAATTTGATACTACGCCTGTGTATTTGGTTCCATAAATATCCGAAGACTTCAAAATATATAATTAATTTTGATACTTTTTACATGTTTTATAAAAATCGACGATTGTTTGAGTTATTTTTTTACTATACAGGGTGGTCCAAACAGTAGTCCGGAAACTTCGGCAGCATAATCTTCAGATAAAAATAAGTAAAAAAGTTCGTATAAATGTATGTCCTAAAATGCTTAGTTTCTGAGATATAGAGAAGTATTATTTTTATTTCAATTTTTCTCAATTAAGTTCTGAAGTAACGTCAATATTTGGATGAAAATTGATATATTGGAGTTTTTTTATATGAGAAATTTGATTTTGATATATCAATATATGACTCCTACTTATAGAGGGCGCCACCTACATATTTTTTAACTGCTTTTAAGAGTAATAACTTTTCGTCCGTAGTAAAAAAATATACATTTACGACATTTTTTACATTAATCAGGCATCTTGGTAAAAATGGCTACGAGTAATAGTTCTCGAGATATTTGGAATCGAAATTATCCATACCTGTCATCATTGAGATAAATTAAACATGTTGACTAAATAGTTATTAGACTGAGAGAATTATAAATTTGAAAAGTGTTTGTGCCGAAAGTTCAACAGAAACTGTTTCATCATCATTTTTCGAAGAAACATTTATGATTAATTTAAAAAAAATAAAATGTTCCCAAATTTATCATTTCAGTCAAATAATTATCTAGTCAACGTGTTTATTGTTTGTCAATATTAACATGTGTTGACTATTTCTATTCTAAATATCTTGAAAACGGTTGCTCGTAGCGATTTTTTACGCAAAAAATCACAGAAATATATATTTTTTTGACGAAAAGTTATTACTCTTCAAAACAGTTAAAAGACGTGTAAAGTGGTATCCCCTACAAATAAGAGTCATATTGACATCAAAATCAAATTTCTCATGTTAAAAGACTTCCAGAAACCAATTTTTATCCAAATATTAACTTTACTTCAGAAATTATTTGAAAAAAATCGAAATAAAAATTAAACTTCTACGACCTATATCTCAGAAACTAAGCATTTTCGGACATACATTTATACGGACTTTTTTACTTATTTTTTGCAAAATATGCAGCCTCAAATATGTTTCCAGAATACAGTACCCAGTAGTAAAGCTTCGCAACCTTGGTCAACAATTTATTTTACTATTTTTTCAAAAGTTTATAATTGTTTTTAATTATTCTTCTGTTATCAGATACTACTTCTATACTTTTGGCCTTTTACGAGTATTATAATTTTAATTTTTTTTTTGAATAAGAAGACTAAGGAAGGAACATATCAAAAATCTTAGGTCCACCGCGATGGGACACAAATATGGCCGACTTAAATTCTGGTTTATCAGTGCCGTTCTAATTTTATTTAAAAAATGTTAAACTATGATGTAGGGTAGACGTGGGGTAGACTCAATATTTTTTTTTATTTTACGTTGTGAATAAATGTTGGTAGTTATTAAAATTGTTATAAAAACGTATTATTATAATAAAAATAGATAAGTTTTAACAATTATTTATTAACACAAACATCCGATATGCTACTGAAGCAGGTAAGTCAAATTGACGTATCTAAATTCTTTGACATATAATCTTTGACAAGTAGTAAATAAAAGCAAAAATGCAAGAAAAAGTATATAATTAGTTAATTTAAGTGAATTTCATAAATGATCGCTTTACTACACGTATGTATATTATAATATAGTCACTTACTAGCGAAAAGTTGTTCCATTATTTCACTCGATTTTTGCCGAGATCTACCGCACGCTACACAACCAACTATTGTAGAGTGTTTTTCGATAAATCGCGATAGTGTCACTGTTAGTTTAAGTTCTGCCATAATTTCCATCTAGATTTAGAGACTACCTTTATATAACTATCAGTAGTAGAATAAATAATAAATAACATAAAATAAGCTCCGTAAAGACTGACAAATCCACAAAATTTCAAATCAAATTCAAATGTGTCAAATGAATCGTCAAACAGAACTGTCAAGGATCCCCACCCTAGAGTCCTTTTTCCGCCCACCATGCTTGAATACATGGCTAACATTATGCTACTTCCTTAGTCTTCTTATTCAAAGATACAAACAAATTTATTAACCATATTTTTCATTAAAGTAGATATTTAATCTACAATTGAATTACGTTAATTTATATATGCATGAATAATCGTTGCTAATTTATTTATGGATCGCTAGTTACAATTCGCATTTTTGTGCATTATTAACGTGAAAATTTTAATTAAAAATTTTCAATCTATATTGGGAAATAAAGTTCCAATGCAGGAAATTACTATTTCCATTAACCGAAAAGCATTTTAATAGAGTTTCAGCATCGAAATTGCTTCAAAGCTGCTGGTATTTTTTCAAAAGCATCCATTTTGAGTAAATGAATATAAAGTTATACAGTTATTATTTTTTAAATAAACAGAATTTAAAGAAATTTAATTAAATATTTTTATAGATATATTTTTGTATTTTTTTTAGACAACAAAAAAACAATTTAGGAACTTTGATCTCTATCAATTCCCCTGGGAGATTGACGCCCTGGTTCCAGCTAACTTCAAACTCCAAAACCGGCATTTTATCTTTGAAGTACCGCCTGAGGAACTCAACCAAACTGAATCAAAAAGATTGGGAATTACCCAGGCATCATAGAAAATCGCCCATGGCTGGTAAGTTATCAGTTTAGTAGGTATAAATAGTTTAAGGATTGTTTCTCGACCGTACTTTTACCTCCTGATGATGTTAGTAACCACTAACGAAATATAGAGGCTTTAATGAATAAATGAGTGTCATTGAATGAAAACAGACCGATATAACCTGAGATTTTATCCTTTATATAAACAGTTATCAATAATCAATAAAATTAGACTGAATTGTTCTTAACAATAATTTTAAGAAATTTCTCATTTTTATTTCCGTATACAGGGTGATTCACGGTCATGGTACGTTAGACGTTTATGGAGAACAAGTGATAGAGTTTTTTTTAGATTTTTGCTTAAATGCTTAAATTTTCCGTATTACAATGTTGTCGATTCATAGTAAAAGTGCATTATGCATTCATACGTAGCATCTTTGTTATTTTAAATGGATCACCTTTTATATTATGATGTCTACTTTCATATCTGATAATTTTTCTAAACTCACCGGCAAAAAAAAACCGGCCACTAAAAACTAGACCCAATTTCAAAGTTGGATTTCTGGCGAACCACTCATTAAATTTTGATGATTTTTCTTTTAAATTGTAAATTAATTCCTTTTTAACGGATACTACGTCAGAAATTTTTAATCCGAATTTATTTTGAGCATATACAGCACACAACAATAAGACGAAGTTTTTTGCCCGAACTTTGTAACACGCTGTAGGGTGCAGCAGCGGTAGTAGCTATTGCTAAGTTAAATCACATTGTAGCCTCAACTTTTGTGAGCATTTTGTTTTTTAATCACCACATTATCTCTTTTTGTATTGGAGATATGCTGTTTTAAAACGAACGTCTCGGAAAAATTCAGAATTCATCTCGGAAAAGGCAGAAAGTTTTATGTATAAATAATCAAGGCGACATAGGCGAAAACGGATTTATGAGTATTTGCAATATGAGAAAAACGGTTGTCAAATTAAAAAATGCCATTATCTGTAATGGATGTTGCTCGTATTGTGGCTTTAATTGGGGATGGCCGAAGTCAACGTTATGTTTCGGATACCCTGTGTATATTTCGAACAACAGTCCAGGATGCCTGGAATCAGTATATGGAAACGGGAAATTTCACCAGTGGACACTAGATATTAGTCCCTTAAAATTTCTTTACCTTTTTTTAATTTTCATGTTTTAGTTAGTTTACGTCGACGTTCTGATGTTTGATTTGATTTTAAAGCTTTTTTCGAGGCGTTTGTTTTAAAGCAGCGTATCTCCAATACAAACAGATATAATGTCGTGATTAAAAAAACAAAATGCTCACAAAAGATGAGGCCTACAATGTGATTTGATTTAGCAATAGCTATTACAGCTGCTGCACCCTACAGGGTGTTACAAAGTTTAGGCAAAAATCTTCGTCTTATTGCTGTGCCCAGTATATGCTCAAAATAAATTCATTAAATTAATTATTAATTAAATTCAAAAAAATCATCAAAATCTAATGAGTGGTTCGCGGGAAATCCAACTTTGAAATTGGGAGTAGTTTTTAGTGGCCGGTTTTTTTTGCCGGTGAGTGTATTATACTAACCTATACCAATCTCTAATAGTTTTTTTTAGTTTCAACTATTCTTTGACCTTATGAAATATATTTTAAGTAAATTTTATTCTTGGTTTGAGGTCAGGTGTAAATAAATATTTTAGAGATTTAATCCATTAATTATTATTTATTGATAAAAAAATAATTTCATGACGTTTCAACCATTAACTTGGTCTTTTTCATAATGAGTAATAATCTTCTACTTGTTCCATCTGTCAGAATTAATAATATTTACATTGTAAAACCAGTCAAAAATACAAAAATAATTTAGGTACAATTTAGGAAACGAATAGTTTTCGAGATAATAGTTATTTTTCCATAGCAACTTTTAAAATTGCCTTATATCTATCAAAAATAGTAGATAAAATAGTACTTTAACCGCATGGGTAGATTAAATGATACTTTAAGAGCGAGGATAGGTTAAAAACTTTATTTCTTCTCGCACGTTTTTTAATTAATTCCATTTTTGAAAATGTTTGTATATCTTTTCATAAATTATTCGGGATTTAAATAGAAGTAGTTTGGACATGGCGTTTGTCACCTCAGACTGAATATCTGTTAGTAATTTACTTATTTCGTTTTGAGCCATTTCTCGCTCCAATTCAATCAGCAATCGACACGAAAGAGTATTAAAAAATATTAAAACAACACTCATAGATAAATGAAACAAGTTTAGATTGGAAAGTGCCCATAAGGACAATGTAAACACTATTTGGCGCTATTCTTGCAACGGTCGCGACCCAAAACTTTTGACAATTTCGGATCGGTTTGGCTTTTTCCGGAATTGTGTCGCCAAATATTGTTTATTCAAATTTATTACTTTCTTTTAATTTTATAAATAAAATACAGTGTATTCGAGAAACTTTATTTTACAGAAGGACATGTATGTGAAATACCTATGAAACATTGGAAACCCACGTTATGCCACGATCCACGATGATTTTTGCAGTTCACAGTTCACAACACAGTTTTTTAGTTTTTAATGCCACTTTTTCGCAATTATCACGGGTCTGAGTAAATAAAATTTAAATTAAACTCACAAGATAGCAATAATTACTTTGAGAATGGACGCTTTAAACACTTTTCGGTATTTTTTCAATGAGGGCGGTTTAAATTTTGGAAGATTTTATAATATGTTTATAATTTTTGAAGATTCTAACTTTGACAAGAGAAAATCATTTGTGTTATTGTTTGGTAGTTGTTCTTAGCAACCGCTGTTGCAGCGCCAAATCGCGTACAACGGTCGCGACTCAAAAAATTATATATTTTGACGGGCTTTCCAATCTAAATTTATTTCCTTTATCTATGATAACACTAAAAAATATTCACTCACAACTGACAACTAAAGAGACAGCTTTATTTATTTGTCAAATTACAACGCCAACACAGCACAATATTTTTTCTACTCGTAATAAATTCCTTAAAATAATAATTTCTGAATATTTTTTAAAACGTAAGAATTCATTCTATGGAAAAAAAATATTGTTTTATACACGACGATAAAATACCTTATGATGGAAAAAAAACGGCGTCTAGTTGGCTTGGAAATGACGATCGATGACATTTCCCATATAATTTTACATATAAAATCACAGCGATCTTCATTTCATAGCCATCGTTGACGACATTTTTATTCGATCATACGGTACCATTTTATCGTCTTGTAGATATAGATGTATAATAGAAAAATTATGAGATATGAAAGTAGTTTCCAAATATAATAATATACCGGGTGTTCCATTTAAAATAAGAAAGATGCTACCACTTTTAGATAGAGCATGTGCCTCAAAAATCCAAATTTTCAAAAAAATTCTATCACCGATTCTCGATAAACGTCAACGTGCCATCGCAATAAATCACCCTATATAGGGTGCTACAAATTCGAGGTACGAGCATTGGTATCTCGGAAACCGTAAGAGATACGAAGATGGTTAAATTGGGGCAAAGTTGCGCTTTAGGATGTTCACCAAGATGCCACCAAAAAAGTTTTAAAAATTTCAAGGATTGCTGAGTTTTTTGGAAAAAACGGATTTTTTTGAAAATAAATTTTATTTTTTCCTGGCGTTACTTTTTAGAAAATCAAAAAACTAATTGCACATTCTCATGGCTACTTTATTAGGGCTACCTGATAGTATTTTTAGATTTTAAAATTAGCTGATAATTTGTGAGATACAGAGGCCAACTTAATTTTTTTAAATAAGGACCTGCATTTTTTATTTGAAGTTTTGAAAGAACTCGGTCTCCTCACTACAATGATGTGCCACACTTGATACTTTTTTTGTTTTGGTTACCTAAACAATAACAAAACTATTTAATTATTATTTAAAATAACATATATATTATTTAAAATAACATATAACATCTAAGTCCCACTCTGGTTTTTTAAATTATTTAATCTGATTATATTCATCGCAACAATATGGATCAGCGCTAATTAACATTGAATCGAGCCAATTGAAAGATTCAAACAAATAATACCCAGGTCAGCAATTTAAAAATATTATTTATAACTTTTTTTATTGTGATTTTAAAATCTCAGTGTACGATCTAATAATATATTGTAAATAAATCAACTTCTACAAACTAGTTTTTCTAAAACTAATAATGCTCTACATGTTCGAAAGGGTTACCACCGTCCCTAATGCACAAATTAATGTATTTTTCGTTCAGTCTTATTTATAGGTCTTTGAACTTTGAACATATTATCTTCTTCTTATACTTCCGAATGCATTCTGTACTCTTTATTGTAATGTTGAAATGTATTCTCACTTTTAAAAATGACGTCAAGTAATGCCTAAGATCTAAGAGTAATGCCCAATAATTTTATATTATTTTTTATTATTTAATTGCATTTGATATCCGTATTCAATGTTTTACTCCACGTCATTGTTAATTTTGAAAGCTTACCAATATTGTAACGATGAATAGATTAAATATTTAAAAAAACAGAGCCGGACTTAACATTAGTTTAATTAAATTGTGTTCAAATGTCCGAAACAAAAAAAAATGTTAAGTGTGGCATATCATTGTACTCAGGAGACCGAGTTCTTTCAAAATCTGAAATAAAAATGTAGGTGCGTATTTAGAAAAATTAAGTTGTCCTCTGTATCTCACAAATTATCAGCTAATTTGAAAATCTAAAAATACTATTAGATAGCCCTAATAAAGTAGCCATGAGAATGTGCAATTAGTTTTTTGATTTTCTAAAAAGTAACGCCAGGAAAAAATAAAATTGATTTTCAAAAAAATCCGTTTTTTCCAAAAAACTCAGCAATCCTTGAAATTTTTAAAACTTTTTTGATGGTATCTTGGTGGACATCCTAAAGCGCAACTTTGCCCCAATTTAGCCATCTTCGTATCTTTTACGGTTTCCGAGATACCAATGCTCGTACCTCGAATTTGTAACACCCTGTATAAAAGTAATATTTTTAGATGCAATCTT